TCTCAAATATATTGTTGACCAAAAGAAGCCAGCCCCCCAAGTACCCCAAATAGTATGTATCTAACTCCACTAACATGAAATTTTTAAAAGGCAAACTAAGAAGTCAGGGTCATGGTTATTTTGCGAAGGAGAACGGGTAGGGATTGGAAGTAGGGACGAAGTGGGTCTCTGAGGAACTAGTAACATTCTGTCTCTTGACTAGTGGTTTCATAGATCTAATCACTTTGCATTGATCTGTTCAGTTATGATCTGGAAAAATTTCTGCATGTATGCTTGACAAACTCTAAAAATGAAAATGAATATATTTCACATTTTTAGAATAAGGAAGAAAAATAATACAATCATCTCAAAAGATCCAGAAAAATAATTTGATAAAATTCTTCATAAAAAATCTTAGAAAATATATGAGAAGGGAACCACTACAATACGATTAATGGTACCTACAAATAAACATTATACTCAATAGTAAAACAGTAAAAAACAATTTTTAAAGGTCAACTAAGGTGGATCAAGGTAGCTACTTCTGTTCAGTATTAATTATACTGCAGATCTCTGACCAGTGTACTAAATAGTAAATTTCCCAGGAAAAATACATAGTACATTCAAAATAGAATTTAATGAGGGTTTGTTCATAAGAGAGTACTTAAAAAGAATTAGACATGGGAAATCATGTAGGACAATGCAGTAGTTCAAAGTTAGAATCAGATTGGACCAATATTAGGACTAAAGGGTCAAGGGGGGAGGGAATATTACTAGAATTCAGAGGAAATAGTTATGTAAAATAAGATTCCTTGAAAAACCTCCAAGAAGACAGACCTAGGTGACCACCTTCCTCTCTCCTCTTCCTCCAAGGTTTCCCATTGCCTTAACCTAACTGGAAGTGAGAGGGACAAGAGAGTGCTGATTTAGTTTTTCTGGATCAATCCTTTGTAAAGGTAGGAATATGGATCTGATGGGTAAAAGAGGAGAAATCTATCTCATGCAATAAGGTAAGAGAGCAAAAAGGATACAGATCCAAAATAAAATTGTTACTGTTTGCAAATCATGTTATAGTATGTGCAGAAATACCTAAAAACTGGATTAGAGTCAGTAAGATGAATTCAATAAAGTTGCTAGATCTAAGGTTAACAAAAAATTAATTGTATTTATACATACCAGCAACCACAGGCTGAAATTTAAAAATTTTTATAATAGCATTGAAAATATTAAACATTTTTGAATAAGACTATTAAAATATATGTAAAACATTTAAGCAAATAGTAAATGTACTGAGAGAACTTAAAGAAGAGCTAAATAGAAGGAAAAGATCAAGGGTTGGACATATTTATTTTAAAGTCATAACTTCTCCCCAAACTGATCTATAGATTGAATACAACCACAATAAAAATTCCATTTGTGTGCTTGTGTGTGAATATATGTATATGTTTGTGTAACTTGACAAATAATTCTCAAAACTGATCTGGAAATATACATGTCCAAAATACCCAAGGTATCTTTGGGTGGACTTGTGCTACTAGATATTAAGACTCATTGCAGTATACACTAATTAAGACAGTCTTGTTTTGAAATGAGAATAAACAAACTATATGATTAAAATAAAGAATAGTGAGCAAGTTTTTACCAAAAAGTACTTGATCAAGTTGGAATTTGCTTGGAAGTAAATGAAACTTGACCCCTCCTCACACCCTGCACAAAATCAAGTCCAGATCTATTGTAGGAATAAATGTGAAGCAACAAACAGACAATAAGCAAAACTAATCCCTCTGTATTAAAAAAATCAATCACAAACAAACTTCAAGATAATATAGAAAACCATGGTCAGGGGTGTGGGAGAGACCTCTAAAATAGAACACTGAAAGACTAATCATAAAGAAAAAGATTGTTAAATTTGACTATATTAAGTAGTTTCTGTTTTTCAAAAGATAAATTTAAAATATTTTAGTAATGAGTGAGAAAAAGATAATACACTAGATAAATAAGTATTTCCAAATGGTCATTAAACAAAGAAAACATGCAACTGCTTTAGTAATCAGGAAAAGGCAAAATGTAATAACTTTTACTGTTCACTTATGGTTATGGGTTGTATCTAGATGTCCCCCCAAAGCCTCATGCACTCATAGGTGGGGCTTTTTGGAGCTGGCTGGATCTAGGGCATGTCATACTGGAATTAAGGGTGTGTGGTACTAAATTTTACTGATTGGAATTAGCATAGTACTGGGTTGCACCTCTCAAAAGGCTGGTAGCCTAGATGGGATAAAAAGAAAAGGCAGGCTGCTGCTGCTGCTTGCTGCTTCACTGCCTTATACCTGCCATGCTATGGACTGTTTCTCCTCTGCCATGCTGCCTTGCCTTGGAGCCAACTGACTATGGACTGAAACCTCTACAAACTGTGAACTAAATAAATCTTTCCTCCCTTAACTTGTGGGTGTTGAATATTTTGTCCCAGCAATGAAAAAAGTAACTAAGACACTCACCAAAACAGTTAAAGCTAAAATCATTTATAATAAGAAACACTGGTAGAATATAGAACAATGAAACTCTTACAGACTGATGGTGAGAATACAAATAGGTACAATCACTTTAGAAAATTGTTTTAAATAATATATTAAAGCTAAGCCAACAAAATACTCCACGATCTAGCACTTACTATTCAAGATATGTACTTAAGAAATGTGTCACCAAGAAACACATACAAAAAAGTTTATAGCAAGGTTTTTTGTAATAGCTCCAACAACCTGTGTGACTATGAAAAATAGAACGACTACCTTGTGGCATTTCACACAATGAATACCATACATTAATGAAAGTGAAGTACAGCCACACACAATGGGTGGATTAATCTCACAGGCAAATTTTGAACAAAACTAACCAATAGAAATGAATAAATAGTATATGGCATTCCCTTTATGTATAGTTAATAAAACTAACAAAGCTAAACAAAAGCATGTCACAATTCACATTTAGCAGTAAAATTATAAAGAAAAATGAGGAAGTTATTATAAAGGTCAGAATAACAATTCCTTTCTGGGGAGTAATAATTATAAGGGAAAGGAGGAGGGCTTCTGGGTGCTGGCAATATTTTAAGTTTTAGAAATTTGAATAGTAGTTACATATATGTTTACTTTATGATATTAGGAGTTGCACATATTTTGTTGTATAGTTTGTTATATGTGCTATATCTTGCAACCATGAGAATAAAAAGGCTGTTCCTTTTCTCCTATTTCATACCTGGCACAGCATAAAATGCAGGGGGTCCTCTGGATTTTCAAAGACTAAGTTTTCAGTGATCTGCTGAGAGAGAGCGTAAGGCTTCACATTTTAGTTCTGAGAGAAAGTTATGCAGTTAGGTTATAACTGATCAATTTTCCCATGGGTGTAACATACACTATAGTATTTTGAAGAAATTTATGGATATCTACAAAGGAAAAACTTTCTTACCACTGATAAAAGCAGGCAAATTATGATAAAATTTGAAGGAATAAAAATTCAGTTACAAATAGCAATCAGTAGTAGTTTCCAAGATCAAAGAGGTAGTAAGAAAGTTCTGGTAAAGTCTTTGTTTTAAGAATTGTGATTTTGTTACACTGATAATAAATTACTTATTTTGAAGAATAGCTGAAGACATATCCTTCAAATAAAAATTGAAAATGCTGTGTGATCTTACATATAATCTTGCTTCTGAGACATTTGATTCTAAAAGGTAAAAGTTATATTCAGCTGCAATATTAAAAGAAAAAGGCCACATCAAATTTCAGAAATTCACTTCCATATGTTTTTGTGGTTATTGTATAACTGAAAAATTATAATAAACATATTTCACTTGCAGAAAATAATAGACAAATTTCAAGTATAAAAATATTTATGTTTAAATATTTCATCAATATACATCAATTATATATTTCATATTTGAACACATATTTGATAACTAATTTTTCTTATAACAATATAAGAAAAATTTTGTGCATAAGCATTATGTTTTGAAAGATGAAAATTATTTATAGAATGTTCAAAATTCTACTGTCTTCAACTGATTTTGTCTTTAGGTTGAATAACTGATAGATTTTTGATTAAAGACAGAAACTCAGTCATTAATTCTCTCCAAAAAAGGACATTATAAGGAGAGAAAGGAGTAAAACAAGGTTAATGAAGCAGCTATCACTTATTCCAATTTTATATCAGAAATCTGAAGTTCATAGAAACAAAGTAATTTTCCCCAATTCACAAAGATAAGTAGTGACAAAATTAGGATTTGAGCCATTGACTAATATTTGTGCTCTTTCCTCTATATCTTGCTTTATATTTTTTCTAGTTTTGATGTTTTCATTTGAGGTGGGCTCTTCTAATTTTATACCTTTTTGACCACACAATTACATCATGTGTGTATGTTATTATAGACATATATATGCAATACCAGCTAAATCATATTAACATAAAAATAAACATTTTAAGCAAACAAAAACAACACACTGAATACACACTACCCTCCCCTCCCCCAATAAAGCTGTGATAATCTCTTGTGGCTCCATATTAGCGAAGAAATTATTATACATTAAAAGAAGCTACAATGCTATATCCAGAGATTTATAATTTTAAGAATTAGAAACAATTTTTAACTATTTTCTTTTCTTTCTCAATCAAAGAATGTAGGTTCTTAGATGGTAACAAGATTGTTCATCATTGGAAAGTATTGCGTTCCTGCCTGGAAAGCCCTTTTCTGTCCTTTTTAATTGCTAATATTTTGTCCTTTTCCCCTAAAGGTTAAAACATTAAGCTTTGCCCAATGTATCAACCATCCCACCTCATCTCTAATCCTCCTGGGGGACTTAATATTATGGTATCATTCACTTGATATTTATCATTTACTACTTTTGGTAAAAAAAAAAAAAAAGCAGTAAATGAACTGTCTCCATGAGATTATATTTCCCCATTTTTATAGCAAATACCCTTTCTTATACTTTTTGAAAAACTCACAATTAAGGGAGAAGGGTTGAGAAGTTTACCTGGAATATCTGCAGGATGTCATGCTCCTCCATGTACTGGAGTGAAGCTTGATAAGGATCTTCATAAACTATAGGAGGGAACCTCCCCTTAAGAGTTTGCTTCTCTGTATGAAAAGTCTTTTCCTGCTTGAATTCTGAAAAATCATCCTGTAATTGAAATATCCCCCAAAGAATTTTTAATAAATTTAAAAAGTCCAGAAAATTTTGAAGTTGTAGTTATGAATGGAATCTAGTATTGATGGGATCTTAAAACCATGAGCTGGATAAAAGATAGATTTTTGTGAGAGACCCAGCTCATCCTTCAGGCAATATGATGAGCCCTGGGAGGTACCTTAGGCATCTCCAATCTACTTCAAATACTTTCCCTTTCACAGGAGTCTCCAGTCAATTCCAAATTTCCTTGCCTTGGTAGAAATGCAGACAGGGCAAATGACTTAATGTAACACAGTTAATAGCAGAATATATGTGCACCCATGTTCATAGCAGCACAGTTTGTAATAGCTAAAACTTGGAAGCAGCCCAAATGCCCCATCAACTGGAGACTGGATAAAGAAAATGTGTTTTTTAATAAAATGGAGTAGTACTCAGCCATGAAAAATGAGAAATTAGAGACATTTATTGCTAAATAAATGTCGCACATTGAAGCGATTTTCTTAAATGAAATAAATAGGACACACATGTGTAAATACCGAATAGTTTCTCTAGTGTGAGAAACTGAAAGTGTAAATAAGGACTAAAAGGTATAATATATAA